TAAAACATTGTTCTTATTTCAGTTTGGTGTATAACAAGGACACCTAAAACTTGATATTATCGACATTATCTGTTAGTTACTCTTAGAAGATTCATTAATGTCTTTTAAGAACATATCAGACTTTAAATCGCATCCCTAGTAATGTGGTAGCAAAGAGTGACTGGGCAAGCATCTGTTTAACACCAGGTTATAATAAAAAAACTTTTATGAACACATTGGGCAATTTAATTCAAGTCTTAAATTAACAGTTGGAAAACATAGTAGGTCCAATGTCTTTTACCACTTTTGGTGACTAGTGTTTGCAATAAAGATTGATCACCATTTATGTTTTTGCTTGCGACACTGGTTTAAATAAATTATTACAAAGCCTATTTGAATTGTAATCAAACCCCAATGTTTCGACACTCCAGTCTAGTGTCTTCATCAGGGGTAATCTAAAATTGCAATGTAGCTTCTTACATACCCAAAGGATGACATCACCTGCCAATGAGATGCATGTATTCCTCTGGTAAATAGGCACTGTCATCCCTATTCAAAGGATGATTACTCATTTATATGCCACACTAGTCAAAGACTATGCCTAGAAGCATGGCATATAAATATGAGTAATCATGCTTTGAATAGGGATGACGGTGCCTATTTACCAGAGGGATACATGCATCTCATTGGCAGGTGACGTCATCCCTTGGGTATTTAAGAAGCCAACGATTGTAACTTCAGATCACCCCTGAAGACACTAGACTGGAGTGTCGAAATGTTGGGTCTTGATTACAATTCGACTGGGCTTTGTAATCATTTATTTAAACCGGAGTAACAAGCGAGAACATGGTTGATATACCTGGTTGCAGTGAACGAACAAACTTTGATCACCATTTGTTTTTCTTTCCATCTATCCAGGATTGTTTTTGTTTAAACTTTACATGAGAACAACAAACATCAAATCAATTTTCAGAAGTTATTGAACTACTTTAAATTAAGAACTTAACCAGACTGGTTGCTACCATGTTTCTAAGGATTTGGTTTAAATCTGTATTTACAAAATGAATTTAAATTTAGTTTACATCTATATGTAGCATCTACAATGTTGTGTTAAAGTTTTCTTTGAGATATATGAATGCAGATGCACAATCTTTAGGTTCTATTTTTTCTGTTTTTGGTAGAAGCGATTCACATCTTCTAAATGAGGCATCAAGGAAGTCATCTTCCATATCTTGATTGCACAGACATGCATCTATAGACATCTATTATAAAGAACATTAAAATTGACATGTTAAAATTAACTATTATAATGTTGTTTCAAGTATAAGTATGCATCTTGGCATTCATTTGGTTTGATTGTGTCATGATCAGGGATCAGTCTTTCACATTCTGCTCTAACATTTGGCTCCAAATAGTCATCTGGTACTTGCAAAATGCCAGATAGGGTAGCTGCCTCCTTCAGCTGTTCTTCAGTTACTTTTAGGCCTGTAAAATAAGGTACTATGTAAAGGTTACAGAATGGTCATATGTGCTCCATACAAGGACGGATTTTCTGGGGGATGCGCACCCCCCCAAAAAAATTTCCACCCCCCCCCCCCTGAGAAATTGTGCACCCCGTCCCTGCCAAAATTTAAAAGCATTAAATTAAACTACCGTTAAGTAAGATAGAAATATTAAAATCAACATGTTTCTATATATGCTTTTTTGCAGCATATTAACGTAAAAGTAAAACACACTTGACTTACAAAAAATAAGTTCACGTGCTCATCGGCACCACGCGTTCGCACATTGACAATGGATTCAGACAGGTTTGACAGGTGTACATAAACCTGTCAGATTTTCCAAAGAAAGAAAATCTATAACCTTCCATGTAATAATGTATATAACTAATTTAAAGGATATTCTGTTTCATAAAATGGATGTTGTCTAATCTATTATTGAAATTTGATTATGGACTACTGAGCGTATTTAGACCCACTGATCATTGCTTTGGCAATTGAGAATCAGGAAATGATTGGGAAGCATTCACGCTCTTGCAGTTTGGGTTTTAGTTCGTCGTTAGAGTTGGATTGAAAGCGTGTAGATCTAAATCGATGTGTCAGCAATTAGCAGATCCTATATTTTTATCACTAGGCACTAGCTAATACACTTCAGAAAAGGTTCAATTCATTGTTTGAGCTGCGTATTAGTAAAAAATTCACTTAAAAACATGCATTTTCTAATCATTAATAAAATTAATTTAAAAAGTGACGCCAGAATGCAGGAAATGCTGTTTCGGAGCCCCAATTTAAAAATTTTCCGGGGGGGAGCATAGTTGGGTGAACCTAGTAACCGGTCATCAAAAACCCTGGATCCGCCCCTGCACAAGATCATTGCCACCCACCCCCACCCCCTGAAGTTTTTGCACCCCCCCCAGAGAAAAATATGAAAATCCGCCCTTGGCTCCATATATGCTGTCCTCTCTCTCTCTCTTTATTGCTCAAATTGATTGCACTTCGTAATTATAAATAGCTTTTTTAGCTGCAAGCAAGTTAGATAACTCTATATTGATGTAGTGTCTAAGCTGCAATGTACGATTTTAGTGTGCATGACTCTATCCTTCACAAGAAAATTCATGTGGCATTAGACAGAGTAGAATAATAAGGTACATACAGCAGGGCACAACTTACCACATTCTTTGAGACCATACTCATCTGGAAAGCTATAAATGTGGTTAGGAATCCCACTTGGCAATACTGCATCCTTTTGTGCTCTTATTTTATGAGTGTTCCACACAGTCTCTCGAAAAATATCCAGTTCTTTCTGAACCAATGGTATCATAACAAAAGATAGAAGCATTCTTGAAACATAAATAAAATTAAGGTCAATAATTTAATTAATTAAGAACTTATCCAAAATTAGACCAATTTGACAAGTGAACCAATATTGCTTGTCTTAACACTTTGACAGCAGTCTCCTTTTGATGAGTAAACTTGTCCTCCCCCCAAGGAGGTGATAGAGAACTTGGCAACCTAGAACGGCAACGACAATGGCGAAAAAATATAATTGCTAATATAAGTGCTTATATTATTGTATTTCAGCCAAAGTATATGTTACTACACTTAATTTGCCTCTTTAAGTATTCTTGCTCCTCTAAAACAGCCCTGATAAATAAAAATAGTTCGCAAATTCAAATAAAACACCTCAAATAACATTGAATGAATTAACTGTTGCCGTAGTCATGCACCGTGAAAATGATGCAAATCACACACTAGTTTCATCAACTATGGCATTGCACAATGCTTTAAAGACCATGTAATTTACATTCACCTTTGTCTATGAGGATCAATGCTATGTTGATGACCATGTTGCCGTTGTCTTTGCCAAACTCTCTGACTTCTGCCATCCAGAAGGGGGGAAGGGGGGGGGGGGAGAATTTTGTTTCTAACAATTTAGTATGTATCTTAGGACATATACAATAAGAAGGGGGTACATGTTGGGGGGTTAATTAACTTCCAATTCCCTCTGTGAGGGAGATATATGGATGCTTTCTGGAATGACCCAATGTCATAATTTGTCAAGGGGTGTGTATTATTTTTCAAGCAAACCCATTAAGAACCAGTATTATCCCTTTGACAAGCAAATTTTCTCATTGTCTTGTGTTAAACTGAGTAAAACAACAAAGTAGGACACACTTGGGTGCAGTACCACTAAAAATGTTAATATTTTTACCTGTCGGTCTCATTATGTGGATCATAGTGACCTAACTTGATCTTTAAGCAATCTCAAATGACCTTTGAAATACTTTTCCATTCTTTCATGTAACTCCTTCCACCACCTTTCAATCTTAAAGTAATAAAGCAGCATAAAATTAAACCTTAACAAGACGCTCTACAGAGCCCGGGCACAGGTGTCCCAGGTGAGTAATACGTTCTTTGTAGGTTTGCATGGCGATTAAACATATAATACTATTGTTTGTGGAAACACCACGTAAATTTATTACTGCAAAGCTTTCGATCCGTAAGCCCGGATCTTCATCAGTGCTAATGATATGAAAAAAAATTGAATTGAAATTAAATCTTGTCCGTGATTAAGTACATTGGGCCATTCCATTTAATATGTGCACCCCCCCCCCCTATTGAGGGGTCCTTAAAAGTTTTACCCCCTTAGGAAATTGAACATCAAAGTGCCGACACATTCCCCCCCTTGGAAATTGGCCTATGTTGTTCGAAGATCAAAGGGACCGACTGATTTACCCCCTCGGAAATTACCAATATTAACCCCTCCCTCCCCATAGGATTTCCAGACCCCTCAATGGGGGCGGGGGGGGGGGGTGCACATATTAAATGGAATGGCCCATTGGGTCTATAATCAATATTAAAGGCTTGCATGATTGCTGCTGAGTATGTGCCAGTTTGAAAAAGTATGTGTAGAAAATGAAATAAAAAATAAATTTTAGCAATTAAATAGAAAATTTACCTGATTAGAGGTGGAAGGGCCATAGACAACAGTTTCATGTGGATCCATATCTCCATGTTTACTTCGTAAAAAAGCATGTGTGGTTGCCATGACACCAGTCTCAGTACCCTTGTCCACTCGCAGCATGGCTGATATTATTCTCGTTTCATAGAGATATTCAAGGTACCACTTCCCAATTAATTTTGGTTCAGAATTGGATATCCAAACTCTTAACCATAACAGCTTTCTACTGGCAGTGTCAATACATCCATAGATAGCCAATGGAAAAGTGGAATTTTGATATCCCATCAGCTTATCATGACCATCAAGTGCATGCACCCAATTCGTTCCCTTTGTCGTGAAATGCCCCTTCTTTCTTTTCTTCTTGCCACCAACGCCACCTCTGATTTCAAGTCCCTCTGGGTCAAGCTCGGTCATCACATCATAGACTTTATCCCTTGTAACATTAAGACCATGTTCTATCCTGATTTTTTTGTGCATGGCCCTGTAACCTAAAAGCATACCCGGGCCGTTCAATTCAGTTTGCACCGCTTCGATTACATCCGAGACTCCAATATTTTGGTCATTATAAAACAACTCGAAATGGCGAAGACGTCTATCGAGCGACCTGAGACTCCACGTATATTGAGGAAAGTCGCGAGTAACAAAGTCTAGTACCTCACTTCTTTTTAATCCTTGCTGAACATAATTTGACAAAGCTTCTTTAAGATTTTCATCATCTTTCCAAGGTGCTTCTCTGATATCAGAATTGCCCGCCATTTTGTCACAACAAAGGAATTTTAATGAGTCAGCTCTCGGGTCGCTGTGCATTATGGTAGTGGCAGCCCTCGGCCATGGTGAAATTCACTTTTACTTTGTAATTTTAATTGTAAATCAGTATTTTGTATTTCATTTTAATTTACTTTTATTTTTCATTTTAATTTATTTTTATTTTTCATTTTAATTTATTTTTATTTTTCACTTTAATTAAAAAAAAATTATAAAGAATATTTTGGTAGTGGCAGCCCTCGGCCATGGTGAAATTCACTTTTACTTTAATTTTAATTGTAAATTATTTTGCATTTCATTTTAATTTATTTTGTATTTCATTTTAATTTATTTTGTATTTCATTTTAATTTATTTTTATTTTTCATTTTAATTAAAAAAATAAAAAGTAAAAAAATCTTTAAAATAATGTAAAATGTACAAAAAAAAACGAGTGGCAACGCTCGGCCACCATATAGGTGTTTTTTCGCGCCACTATGGAAAGCTATCCGGTATAGTGGAAACGTAGCCTCGGGGTGTTCGCTATTTTTATTGAATACCTTGTGTTTTGATCTGCAAGCTCAGATGTTCATCGGTGCAAATAATGTCGGTTTTTTTTATTATTTGCAGTAATAATGAATTCTGCTTACAGATCAAAAGCTTTCCCAAATAAAGATACTTGGTGTTTCTCACAAAACAATCATATTTAACACCATGCAAACATGTTTGTGTCTATTTCGTTGTTCTCGGAAATGCATGTCACAATTATAAAAAGATGTTTCACAAAAGCAACATTTTTGGAACAAACCTTAACAGCATTGTGATTGAAAATAACATATAATATTTATAATAACATTAATATATACATGACATCATTAGCATACAACTGCAGTAGCCCAGCATCTTGCCTCATGCATATCTGCATGTTTTTTCCAAGTGTTGCTATCAAACCTAAAACTTTCTACAGACTTTAAGTAATTTCTTCCTTCGTCTTTGCCTCCCATGACAATGACAGTGTCTCTGACAACTGCAGCCACACATCCTTTCCTCTTATACTTCATGTTTGGTAACATACGACTCTTCTGGGTCTTGATGTTGTACAGTAAAACTTTGTTTAATATTTGATCGCGTGTGTCAATGCCTCCCATCATCATGACATTGTCATCACCCCACTTGACCGTGGCCATTTCATACACGGAGTAAGGGAGGGGTCCTAACTCCTGATGTTCATTCTTAGTAATGTCATACATGACAACATTTCTGACAGCTGAGTTACTGTTCGCGTTTTCTCTCCCTCCAACAATCAAGACCTTATCACCAAACAATGCAACACCACAATAGCATCTTCTGTGTGGCAAGGTAGCCAACAGTTTAGTGGAATAAGGTGGAACAATGGAAATCTCAGTAATACTATCAGAATATCCAGCTTTATCAGCATCATAACCTCCAATCACTATCAACCGTCCATTATAAACTACACTGCGGTGTCCCACCAACCGTCCAAGTAACTCAGCAGGAACATTTTCCCAAGGTATGGACTGGCCAGCTTGAACAGCATTCAATGACAATTTTTCAATGGATTTGGACCAGTTAGTACGAGTATAACCTCCACTGACAAAAATGTGATTGTTGTAAACGACTGAAGATGCTCCCAGGCGACATTCTCTCATTTGTTGTAGTGGTGTCCATCTTCCAGTTGCCAGACTGAACATTTCCACTGAATTCAAACTTCCATAATTCTGGCCTCCAGCAACAACAACATCTAACTCTCTGTCCATTCGATCAGCTTCTGCAATTTCTTTCTTCGTATGTTCAGCCTGAACTTCATGCAATGTTTGTCGTGTCATTCTTTCCAGCATTTTTGTCATTTCATTCAAACTTTTCTTCATTTCTACATTGTCTTCCTTAAGCTGACGATTGCTTTCTTCCTGCTTGTTAAGTTGTTCTTGAACCAGTTCAACTTTTGCAGCCACATTTTCCACCACTGCTTTGACGTTGTCGAACTTTCCCTCATTTCTGTCCAACTTTTCATTCATTGCTGCCAAATTAACTTTCACTGTATCAATCTCTTGCCTTGTTTCTTTGCAGTTATGACATTGAACTTTTCGTAGTTCACACACAGAAGTTTCATGATGAAGTAAATCTTGTTTATTCACCTCAAGTTGACATCCTTCGTTAGAGCAGACTGCTGGGGCAAACCCGCATTCTGCAACATGCCTTTCAAGATCTCCCAGTTCAATAAACTTTCCACAACCACGATTGAAGAATTCACATCGAATTTTCAATTCTGACAGCAAGTTTCTTATACCCCGAGGTGCTTGTCTAAGTGTTTCGACAGTGAGTGGTTGCATACATGTTGGGCATGTCTGAAAGTTCATGAGATGTCTGGTGATACAAGTTCGGCAGAAGATGTGTTCATTATGACACATGGCTGCATCTTTGATGACATTGGTACAAATACAACAGTGAAGACTCGGACCAACGGGATACTGAAAAAGTTCATCTTCATAACCAGTGTCGTAGGACGCCATGACAATTGACTATACGTTCCTTCAATAAACATGCAAGTCAACAGGCCCAGTAACTACATTGCGTTAGTGTTCTAGTCACATTTCTCTGTTTCTCAGAAGTTCAACTGATTCTCAGAAACTTCAGAACATATACGGACTTAAGATGGTGTACTCAGCTATCGTTCAGCAGACTTCGGCTATGGTAGAAGACAAAATACAATCAGATATTGTTGTTAAACATCAGTTCTGCATCAGTAAATATCAATATCATGAGAATTGAAGTCTTAATGTTTGATTCTTTGAGGAATTTCAGTTGATCTTTTAATTATATGTATTCTAGGTTATATGTATTCTAGCTAGGCCTCAAGAATTTGAAATATTTTTTATTTCAGTGAAGGAATGAGCGTAAATAATTGGTTTCAATGAACAGCATACTGTATGACTTTCGTGAAGCAGTGAATTTAAAATTGCATTAAAATTGCGACATACAGAGTTTACAAGAATTTGTCTGCTGCAGACACTGATATCAAAGTGGCTGGAGAAATCAGAATGACAGAATGTTTTTTAGTGTCTTTCATTTGAAGAAAAGGAAAGAATGAATGAACAGTATTTGATTGTCAATCGTATGTGTGACTTTCGCTTTGAGAACAGGTTCAAACCTTGAATATAAATATTACATTATAATTTAAAATTGCGACTTACCACATTTACCGTCATCTGCAGATATCAGAATGCCTTTGCGTATCTTCGGATTGAGGAAAGGAATGAACAGATATAAGTATTTTGAATAAATAGTCTTCGATAGTCAGTGTATCTGTGTATATACGACTTTCGCTTTGAGTTGAGAACGCCCTTGCAAATATAAAATTCCTGAATATAAAATGTATTAAAATTGATCAAATTGCAACATAACACCACAAATCTCGTGATCACAATCAAGGACCTCCTGTTGCGAATCGGATGCTCTGCTTTCTTCTGCTTTGATGATTTCTTTTTTTATTTCATATGTACTTTATACAATCTATTACAAACTTGGAAGGAGGACAATATAAAAACCCAAAATTATTTTGCGAGTAGCACTTTATACTCTCTGTACTGAGGTTTTAGGTCACCTTAAATTTATCTTTTGGTACAACTAGTAAAGCAAGTGTGTTATACAGCATTGGTGAAATATTAAGTTCTTCCTCACTAACAGAGCGTCCACTACACATACGACAAAATGTGAAATCGATTATGAAATAAGATTTTGTTTTCATTGCGTAAATTCTTGTCTTAACCGTAATAACCGGAGTGTTTTGGTATAACAGTGGATCAATAAGGGATGACCTTTAATAATGGACATTTCGGAAAAGCAATTCTGGACTGATAGAGTTATCCATTATAAAGTTGGTTGGTTTTGTTTCCTTGAAAAGTTAGAAACGGCAGTACTGATTTAATGTCACCAAGATGTATTAACGGATCGTATCTTGAACGGTCGTGTGCAGTGTAGGTAGGGATCACAGCTATTAATCCAAAGCTTTCTTATTAAAGATCATAAACTATTAAGGTAGCCATGCATTGTGTTGGAATAGTGTGGGCTCGCCCCCAAAATACTACCGCGTTGTTGAGTTCAATTAAACATGGCTGCCATGATACGATTGCACGAAATAAAAACAGTTTTGTTATTCACACAAGAGGATGTGGGAGGAATGAAGTCTGTAATTTTGTTTTTAAATGCCCATACTTGAAGTTCGTGGGAAAACTAAGAAGATCAAAACGAACAACAGAGTATAAGTGTAAAGCTTCCTGCATAGGTTAGATTATGGTGCCGCAACATTGTGATAAACTTCCGTCCCGACACATTTTTTTTATTTCCAAAACGGATTTGAAATTTTTAAACAAGTGTTAAAGGCCCGTTTACATTTGCAATTTCTGCTGCAATTTTCTTCGTCTGATGGATGTGAACGAGTGTATGAGTTATGAATGTTCAGATGAGGGCAGCGGCGTAGCCAGCTCTATAATAGAGACCTTACGATTTTAGGACGGCAACGCGACGACGACGGCCAAAACAAACTCCTTCAAATAAATGGTAGTAAAGATAGTTCGTCGTGTATTATCAATCGTATGAATTTAATACAGTTTTAGAAGTTGAAGACATGGGTTTTATGGTTGGAAAGAGTTCTGCTTCAAACCCAGTTTGAAGTTGCACTTGTCGTGGCTTGGAATGCAGCCGTTGTAATCTGTGATTTGGCGTTGTAAACAGAGCGAGGACAATGTCTAAATTATTGATATATTGTAATTACTCAATTCTTTTCAATTATCTATTGTATTGGTAGCCGTCCTAAAATCGTAAGGTATCTAATTCGGGTGTTCCATACACTCGTGTTCCGATACGCTAGACGAGGGTACATCAGTGGGACATCTACTCAGAACATTTCACAACTCATCTACTCGTTCAGATCCATCAGAAGAAGAAAATCGCACTGTGTAAACCGGCCTTAATATATGTCGTCACTTGGATTACCCATCTCCTCCAATATTCAACCTTTCAACCAAGCGAAGTACATAAAAATCGTACACAAAAATACAACGACTTTTCGTTGTTCAGTATACAACGTTGTGTCAACATTAATAGGAATTGATTTTTACGTCGCTGAGAACGATTACGTGTAATGGAATCAAATGTCTCCAAAATTTGACAAACATGACAAAAATCTGTCACGTTTTCAAGAATTTAGAATTTTCCGAACATGGTGTATTGTGCACGAATGACATGAAAATTACGTCATTCTAATAGAAGAAATAACGTAAATGCGTCACATATTAGATAATTATAGTCATTGTTGACTGATTTTAAATTTCCTTAGAGCGCATTTTTGGCAATGTTTCAAACGGGAACTGGATTTCTAAAGATTTTGCGGCAAGGACATGCGATGGAACAAAGACGTGTAGTGCTACATTGTGTACGGTGAGATACAGACAGATACGTAAATGTGTTTTTACTGATCACAACACGACTCTGAGACGCTTTTGGAATTGCAATGTTAAAACTCGTCAAGCTGTTATAAGGCTCAGAATTTCAGCTCACAGATTACCTGTTGAAACTGGTCGATATAGCAATGTTCCATACGATAGAAGAATTTGTCAACATTACGATTTAAACTCAGGTCGGAAACAAACAGCACAACTAACAACCTCAGACACAAACCACGGGGTTGCACAACTAATAAGTTTCCACTATGGCGAATGGCTTTCCATAGCGGCGTGAAAAAGCACCTATCCCGGCGGTACAACTTTCAGAAGCTGAGCGAAACAACATCTCTCCGTTGTAATAATGGACCTTTCCCCTTATAACTGAAATTTTGATGTAGACAAAAATTTCATCTCAGCTTGAAAGAGCATCACAAAATTAGTAATATTCCAAAGTTTCGTTGCGAAATGTTGTAAAATGCGGATAATATAGCCCTGCGAAGTTTGCCGTTTTTCAGTCATTTTGTATTACACATGGGAAATTGACAGCCCAATCGGGTGTTGGGGCATCAATTTCCCGTTTGTAATACAAAATGACTAAAAATTGCAAATTTCGAAGGGCTATATTATCCGCATTTTACAACATTTCGCAACGAAACTTTGGAATATTACTAATTTTGTGATGCTCTTTCAAGCTGTGATGGAATTTTTGTCTAGACTTGTCTAGATCAAAATTTTAGTTATGAAAGGTCCATTCCAGCTGAAAATAGTGTTCCTAAAACAGTAAAAGGTACAGATAGTCGGTTTTTTTCACGTCGCTACAGAAAGCTATCCGGTATAGTATAAACGTAGCCTTGTGTTGCCATAAAAGTCGAGCACGTATGATTTACTGTGTAACCAAGTAATATGCAAGTAAACACAACAATTGCACCAATATACTGAGCACTCAAGCGAACTTCCCACTTTCAAGTGGTATACCATAATGGGTATGCAGCTGACTCCAATATTATTTATAGTCCCATTACACCAATCATGTTTCATGCCCTGATATTTTAAGACTACATCCGACGGCCAAATTTGAGATTTGAAACCTATCTGCCAAACTGGTTCAGTTATTTTCGGCAGACTATTTATCTTGACAAAATTTGTTTTGTATCTAAATTAAGATTTTTTGAGTATCTAATACTTGAGCTTAACAGACAAGCTTTTCGATTTGCGGGTGCCAAATGGCCCGTGCCAAGATTTGTAATGATTAATGAGTTCCCACTTGAAATAAGGGGCGAGAAGAATTTTAAAACTTTTAGCCGGCGAATGTTGGACAAACACTTTACTCTTTAGTTAGTTCTTAGAGACTAGTGTAACAGCTTTGACCTTTGTTGCAGTTTTTAATGTAGAGATGTAATGTAGATATTTGCATAAGTTTAATGATTTTTAGATAGTATAAAGAGGACTCATTTTGACTCAACAGTAGTTTTTACTAAAATGTCCATATTAGTTAAAAATATAAATGAATAGCGGGGTAAAGCGGAACTAGTGCACTCAAGGGGCCCATCTTTCGTATTGTGGTAGGAATGTATTGTCTAAAATGCTTTATATGCTATACAATAATGTAGTTACTTGACTAGGCCATGACGCCTACAATCAACATTGGCTTGCGCTATCCAGTTTACTTGCGAGATCAGTGTCAAACCCGCGCTTCGCGACATGAGGTATAAAGGAACTCCACACACTTTCCCCCCGACTCAATGTTGAATTACGAAGGGCTCGAAACGTCCAAATTTGTTTCTATTTTTCACGTAATTGCATGCCGTCACACAAGCCCGCAAATTGAATCAAAAGGTCGTTTGTCTGTGCCAGCACCACTGGTCTACTATTAGATCAGTGGCCAGCACCAGAAATCCAGCCTGCATGCCTGCGGATAAAGGATTGGCATGAAAAATACAAGTGAAACCTCGACGTTTCGAGCGAAGGCCCTATACTAGCTTCCCAACAAAGGGCTTCGCTTGAAACGTCGACGTTTTGTTTTATTTCTCAGGTTGAGGCTGAATCCCTTTCAATCTGCCGCTTTCTGGCGTCATTAACATCAGCGAGCTTAAGATCGCGAAATTTTCTCAACACGAACGTCAGATTGCCATAGATATCTTATATATACACTAGATAGCGCATCCCTTTTACTAGTAAAATTGAAGCCAAGAATATTCCGGCCAGCGTTTACGTGAATAGATGGCGGCCATGTTGAAGTTTCCCACTCGCTAATAAACGCTTAAAAAACAACAATAACTTTCCGCATTTGAATAGTTTGAAAATGTATTTGGAATAGGTTTTAACTTAATGTTTAAGTTCCCTGTTTAAGAAATAGAAATGATACGAGTCTTCTCATTTCATGGGAATATCCTGAGTCTGCAATCACGGCTTCAATTTTTGAATTGCAGAATAATTAGATGCACTATCTAGTGTATATAAGATATCTATGCAGATTGCCGGGGCTGGATTAAACTGTGTTTGTATCAGTTTGTGGTAATCTTCAACACATGTGACAAAACATAAAATTTTTAAAGTTTGTTGCTTCCTAATAGGAACACTATATGAGGCAAAATACCGCCAAAATTAGGCATACCAATTTTCAGGTGATATCCGTGGTGAGAAAAACGTATCTCGCTGTTATTAACACTTAGGGAACTTAAAGGTCCAGACACACAGAACGTGATTCGACAACGCGACGCGATTTTTCGATTTTCACTGACCGATACTTTGATCCTAGTTTGAATTTTCCAAATATTTAGAAGCGGTATAACATTTTGAGTTATTTGGTCTACATATTTTTCAAAATTTGCTCTCATTGGCTGTTTTATTAACTTTCAAAAACTAAAAATCGCGTCCGGCGTTGTCGAATCGCGTCCGGTGCGTATGGACCTTAAGATGTGCCAAATCTGCGACGCGGACCTAAAAACACAGTCGCTAATAATGGGAGACTAGTTTTACTTTGTTTTTCTCGTGTCTCTGGCCTTGTTTACCAACAACAATCCATAGTTTTTACCCGTGAAGTGAAACTGTGATAATGCTGAGCGGCAGTTTTTCGTCACGTCCGCGCCGTAAATTTGGTGTATCTTAAGCTCCCCTAGTATCGATCGACAACGTGCAATA